CTCTGATATAACTTGTAAGTCCCAAATCTGCTTGTGTATCAATCAGATCCGTTTGATGGTGCGGAATCCCAATCAAACGGATGATGTCAGATCAAAATAGAAGAGAAGAAGAAGAATAATAATATGAATCTATGATGTATTCAAGATTGGAATGATGAACAATACACAAGATTCACACACACACTTGCACCTTCTCTCATTTCTCTCTCTAGAACACCTTAGAATACACACACTTAAGCTCCTCACAACCATGCACTCTCATGCCTCCTCACCCTATATATATGAGACATGGGTCGTGCACAGGTTCACGGCCGTAAACACAACTGTAAACACACATACAGCCGTAAACACCAAGTTGTTTACGGTCCTAGACTGAAAAATACATTTTCCTAGAAAAGTAAAGTATAAACCAATATTTTAGACTCAATAATGTATCTTGCATTTATTCTAAAATAATATACCTTCATTACATTTACACCGAGGTAAACAATGTGCACTGCCAATTGAAGGTCTAACATCATACCTACACCACCACACATCTGTTACTGTAACTTATTTATCGCAAAGAAATTTCCTTTATATAGAAAAGTCTCTTATTTTTTCTAAAAACAAAGGGCAAGAAGTCAACAATGGGACGACATGTCAATTTTGGCATCCACATCAACAAACTAAATAATTAGGTATGTACACCACATAAAAGACATCGAGATCAAGTGATTTTATGTTGTTTGGTGAATGGAAATCATATGCAAAAGATGGCACTTTGGATTATCACGTCGTCTCCACTTCCATGAAAATTCTCTGCAATAAAGACACAAGTAAAAAGAAATCAGAGAGAGTAATGTATCTTCTTGATTTCAAGATGATTAACCTAATAGAAATTCATACCGACTACAATATTACATGTTTAAGCAATTAGATAATGAGAAAAGTAGATAATAAAAAAGTGAGGTATGAGTGAAAGCAAAACACATAAGTGTTATCATTGAACCCATTTGTGACCTGCTTAATCCCAATCCAGGTGAGTTGTCCAGACCACTTTCCAACAGAAAACGATAAACTTCAATTTTTAAATCAGAAAAAACCTGACTATTTTTATTTTTATGTTATTCTTGAATAAGATGGATGGAAACAATGTGATAAAGGATGTTGAAGAACAGATGTGCTAATAAATTTTTGTAAATATTATACATTAGAATGAATTCCCAAATACATAGTAAATGATGACATAATTTATTTAACAAAATTAGAAAACTCTTAACACGACTTTCACTTGGGCATTGTATCAAATAGTTGGGGTGTAAAGTGGAAGTAGAAAGAAACATTAAATTACCAGCACTGCATCTCCAAGCACAAGACCATTATGCGCACCATTTCGCAATTGAACTGGTGAGGAGTAATACACGTTGTCTTAACTAAATAAAACCTTCCCTGCAACAAAGATGTAAGATGAAAAATGGCTTTGGGAAGAACAATGTGATAAAGGTCGCAATTCAACTAAAGCCCTAGTATACCTCATTCAGTGGGTGGAGGTGTCACCCTTAAGGTCATTGGAAGCAGGAGAAAAAAAGAAGAAGAAAATGATTGATATTGAAGATTAGGGGAAAATGTAACCTGCTGAATTCATTTGGGATTGTTTGAATTTTGATTTAAATCAATACATTGGCACTCTTTGTACATCTTATCGAACCATAAAAACCTACAAATTAACCTGAAGCCCTTCCAAAAACGGAATTGGCCGATTACTGATTTTTGAATGGTTTGGATGGAAAAAAAGAGAGGAAGAAAATGATTGATATTGAAGATTAGGGGAAAATGTAATATACCTGAATTCATGTTACGAGTTTGATTTTTGATTTTGATTTAACGGAGAAGAAGAATCATCAAAGAAGGATCAGAGGTAACATATGGATAATCGTAACATCGTAACATAAAGATAAGGGCTAAGGAGAAGGGCAGTGTTGGTATTTCACTTTAAAGATTGGAGCGGGAAATATAGATTGGAAGGGGCTTAGAGTATGCCACGTGGCAAGAAAGCTCTTATTTATTAGGATAGGATATATATATATATATATATATATATATAGAGAGAGAGAGAGAGAGAGAGGGAGAGAGAGGGAGAGAGAGTTAAGTTCATGTGAGAACACACAAATATAAGCCAATCAATATATATAATTTATAAATTAAAATTTTTACATGACTAAGGAAATTTTCGGCTAAGCACAATTTATTTAATGACTAATTCAATGTTAATTTCCTATAATTACGATAAATTAAATATTCCGTAATTTCCACAATAACAAACAATTCAATTAGAACTAGTCAAACCTATTATAGTGTATCCATTTTCATCTTCAACGTGGGTTATTATTTTTTACCATGAAAATTATCCGTTGCCTTTTACAATTTAATTATGTCCTTGGTTAATCATTAACGTTTTCATTTTAAAGGTATTTTGACTAAATATGTATTTTTATTATGTTTGTCGCAAATAACAGTCAGAACTCATTTATGTATATTTTATATACTAGTCAACAATGTCTTTAGTTTATAATACCCAATGAGTGATTACATTCATATATCTTATTCATGATAAAAAAAACTTATTCGATCAGGAATGTTATGTACTTCATAATCAAATATTTTACCATACTTCTAATTCTCTTACATTCACCTTCAAATAAATGTTAAGCAACAAGCTTATTAGAAACCATTGTTTTTACTGAACATATTTTTATTAATTTTGTTAAACAGGAAATTAAAGTATACAAATTAAATCCATTTACATTTGTTAATCAACAAACACATACCTTCAAAACAGAATATATTGACATTCAATACAGAATATTGTATGATGAAGATTGTGCCGACACAGAATCAACCTAAATTTTTGGAAATTTGTTGAAGATTTTGCTGATTCTTGCTAACCGAATTGAAAAATATTTGGGGAGATATTTATGGGAGTGATTATCGACTTATGTTTGACTTTTGCTAGAGTTCCCTTCTTTATCACAAATGTCATTTATAGAATTACCTTATATGCGTATAAATCAGTGTGGAATATGTTTTTATACTTAAATCATGATAGAATATAACTTTTATATATATATATATATATATATATATATATATATATATATATATATATATTCAAAATAAAATGGATTTATCTTTATTATTACTATCAATATTACGATTATTATTATTATATATATATATATATATATATATTATATATATATATATAATATTAAAATGTTCAAAGTTAGGAAACAGTAAAATTGATGGTTTTTGGCAACTTTGGTCCACATAATTGCTGAATATCTAAAGAGTTTTTGACATTGTAGCACATCAATGTTTGGTCAATTTGCACATTTAGTCACTAAAGTTTTTTTGTGCTCAATTGATCCTTAATGTTAGTAAATACCGGCTAATTAAAGGAATGGGAGAAAATGTTACCGGTTTAAGGGTCATCGTTGACGTGTATTGGCTTATGTGGACAAGCATTTGACCATGTCATCTTTAACGTCGAAACCTTCCTTAATTGAACCTTATATTGAACCATCGACGATACTTTGTTACCCCAAATTAGGCCAGTGCCTCCCTCCCGATACTCTACACTCAATCGATATAACCAGAACAATGTCTGCCTCTTCCAGTCGATCGATCAACGTCCTGCGTGTCGGAAACCTTCGTGATGATGACCCCTTTTTACCTTGCGATTGTCAAGACGCAATAAGCGTGGAAAGGACTGCCTGGACCGACGATAATGTAGCTCGTAGGTTTTGGAACTGCAAAAACTCTTTGGTGAGTATTCTTTTTGTTTACTTACACCGTATTTGTTATTTTGAGCTGGGAATGTACACATTTTCATTAATTGCAATCCTAACCTTAACTCTGGTTTTCCCTTTTAATCAGTCAACTGAAGGTCCAAAATGCAAGTTCTTTATGTGGAAAGACAAAGAAATGGAGGAGGGTTACTACAAAGAACAGCTTCGCAAGATGAGGTTTGAGCTGAAAAGGAAAGAAGAGTTTAGTGAAGTTTCGAAGGTTCAAAAGAAGTTGGTTAAGCTGCAGCAAGATATGGAAGCAGATAAGCAAGTGTTTGAGACACAGTTGATGGAGTTGATGAAGCAAAACAGAATGTTGATGTGTGGGATCTTTGTTATGGTAATTGTAGTCGTTGCCATGTGGTTGAAATGACCTTGAAAAGTGCAGCTGATCAAATAGGTGTTTATGGTTGATGGTATATAATTCCAACCAGTTTTTTGGAAAGTGTATGGGTGGATGTTAAAAGTTGTTTGCTTTTTAGGGAAGTGTATGGGTGTATGGGTACATGGTCATGGTTAGATCCTAGTTGTAATGTATAGTCAGGTTTTTGGTTGAATGCTTGTTTGATCAGTGTGTGTATGGGATGTTAAATGTAATGGAATGTAGATGTAATGGGATGGCAGTACATGGGAACAATTGTAATGACTTTGTGTAGATTCAATGAATGATATGAAAGATCCTAGTTGTGATATACCTTGCTAAATTTTATAATATGCATGTGCTCCTTTTAAAAATTCAAGTGTGGGTACCACATTGTCGGCCATAAGAACTCACTTGGTCAACTTAAAAGTGCATTGTGTTTAGAGTTATGTGCAGGGGTATATATGGAAAAGTAAGGGTTAGTAAGGGTATATGGACCACTGACCACACGTGGTATATAAGGACATAATCAATGACAATTTTAAATTATCTATATATGAAAATATATTCCCTTGCCATGCAGTTTAACCAGACAAGTCCTTGGCATGCATGCAACTTCAAATAAACACAACAAAAAGCTCAAAATAACAACCAACTTATTTAACACAAAATACACATCACATAAACCAACATAGTTTCATACAAACTAACATAGTTAATAGCAGTTTCATAAAAACAACAACAATACACCAAAACACATCATTTCACACTACATACCATGTTCATATCACATAAACCAACACTTAAAGTTATTCTAGAGTAACAGGTTTAGCTTCTGAATTCCTAGGTGCATCTGCACCACCAACTTTCTTGCCCAGCTTCAACTTGATAATCCTTTCAGATTTCTTTTTCCTGATTTTCTTCAACAGGGTTGCAACTAGTGTTTCTCTAGCCTCCTGTTCTTGCACATGAACCTGACTAGGTTCTCCATTTGTTGATGCATCAAACTCCAAAGGAGTGAATCCCACCTCATCATAGTCTTATTGCACATGCACCTCATTGACTGCTTCTCCACCATCATTTACTGCTCCTCCATCATCATTTACTGCTTGATCACCCTCATGCACTTCATCACCTTCATTCATTGCATTAGCTTGATTACCTTCATCATCCTCATTGAGTGCTTCAACTACACCCTGATTGACCAATATGAAACATTATTAGAAATTTAAAAAGAAATTGTAAAGATTAACCATTTAAATACTTATGGGTTTAGGTTATTTTTGGTCACTTAACTTTTCGTTTTGTGCTCATTTGGTCACTTAACTCTTTTTAAGTTTTAAAAGGTCATCAAACTTTTGGTTTTTTGCTCATTTAGTCACTTAACCTTTGGCTTGGTCACATTTAGTCACCTAACTTTTAAAATTGTGCTCATTTAGTCACTAAACTTTTAAATTTTTTCAAAAGTTTAGTGACTAAATAAGAACAATTTTAAAAGTTAGATGACTAAATGAGCACAAATCTAAAAGTTAAGTGACCAAACCAAAAGTTAAGTGACTAAATTAGCACAAAGTCAAAAGTTTGATGACATTTTAAAACTTAAAAAGAGTTAAGCGACCAAATGAGCACAAAACCAAAAGTTAAGTGACCAAAAATGACCTAAACCCAAATACTTATTTACCTGTTTTGTTTTTCTTCTAGCTTTGATTTTAGGAGGCCTTGTCAAAGTACAAGCTCTTTTGTTGTGTCCTTCAATCTTACAAAGGCTACATTTTTGTTTTTTTCCAGCCTTGGATACCTTCACCTGCTCCTTACCTTTGTTTTGTGTTTGGGTAGTTTTCTTTGATTTTTTACTTGACTGGTTTGAGTTTTCTGTTGCATCCTTTTTCCTTTTAGTTGCAGGTCTCCCAGGCATAGTTCTACGAACAGGAGGTAAATGTGGGGTGTAATCAGTTGCAGGCCACAAATTACTTCTATTCATAGGTGCTAACCTAAACTTGTATGACTTTATGTAAGTGATGCTACTAAACAATTTGTCCACATATGACTCCACATCCCTATTCATAAAACTAATAGCTGCAACAGAATGGACACAACCGATTCCATTAAGTTGCCAAAGCCTGCATGAGCAAGTTATTTCTTCAAGATCCACCTCATAAGCATCTGTAGTTCCTCTTACTTCAAACTGATTTAGTCCACTAGGTAAAACTTGGTAATGTCTTAGACCCTTCTTAATCTCATTCACTATTTCTCTAATTATTGGACAAATTTGGTTGCCCCATCCTAGACCCTTGCATTTCTTGTTGAACACCCTCTCCATCATATACATCCTCAACTCCTCTAGCATGGTGATAATTGGCTTCTTCCTAGCATCAACAATCACAACATTAAAACTTTCTGACATTTCATTCTCTACAGCATCACAACATCTTCATGGTTGGAAGTAGGCCCTTGACCATGTTTTGGGGTCTTTGTCCATCAGATACTGATAAGCACTTGGGTCTAGCACTTCAAGCTCTTTCATGGAAACCTTAAAATCTACCTCTGTTGTTGCTTTACGTGCCTTCCAGAATATGCTTTCATATTGGGCACCACTATACCTTTTCCTAAGGTTTTGGCTAATATGCTTGGCACACTGCCTGTGCTCTACATATGGAAGGAGTTCTTTCACAGCCTCAATCAAACTCTGTTAACAAATTCCAAATATAGTGAATAAGGATGCAAATAGATAGGGAAATTATTTACAAACAATTAAATTACCTTGTGTTGATCCAATATTACATTGTATCCATAGCCTAAGTTAAGTCCCAAGTCATCAATGAGTAAATCCAAAAACCACCTCCAATTTTCCTTATTCTCCACACATACTACTGTCCATGTAATAGGATAAATCCCATTGTTTTCATCCCTTCCAACAGCACATAATAACTCCCCTTTGCATATCCCTTTAAGGAAACAACCATCTAAACTATTATCTTCCTGCATCCCTCCTTCCACCCCATCTTCAATGCATCAAAGCAAACATAGAACTTACTAAAGTAGTTCTTCCCATCTGGCATATGATTTACATCAAGCTTCACAGTGCTACCTGGATTTGATCTCCTAATCTCTTCTGCATACGACCATAACTTTGCATAATGTTCAACTAGGGTACCATCTATTAGTTGGAGTGCATATTTCTTAGCTCTCCATCATTGACCAACACTAACATGAATACCAAACTTATGTGACACAGTTGTTCTTAGCTTTCTAACACTCATCTTTTGTCTAAGTAAGAACTCTCTTGTATAATGACTCCCTATCTAAGCATAAGTGACCATGGACCCTAACTTGTAGTTCCTTGCACATTTGTGGACTGGCTTTAAAGACTTAATTTGGAAGCTTGATTCATCACTCATCCAAGATGCCCACAACCTGAATGTGCACTCACCCTTGAAACACTTAACCAACAATCTTTTCCTATCATTTTTCTCAAAGCAAAGTTGGTACCCATTCGCAACAGCATAGTTGCATAACATTGATTTTAATTGAGATGGATCTTTGAACCTCATACCAAGTATTGGGAACTGCTTTTACCATGGAACTAACTCATTCAAAATGGAATGTTGTTGAGTTACATTGGCATCCTCTTCACGCCCATCATCATCATCATCTATGTTGTTATCATTCTCATCCTCCTCTTCGCCACATAATCTATTTAGAAATTCATCACCCTTTGTCCTATTCATAGTGACTATGTCCTCATTAAAGTCCACATCCACATCTGTTAGGTTATCAATTTCTTCCTCATTCTCACCACCATCAATGCATGAATCATCTCCATCCTCCTCTTCTATTTCAGAACCAAACCAATCTTCTATTCCTTGACCATCATGGTCCACATACATACAAATTTTACCATCTGTCCCATATGCCTGAAAAATGAAACCACCATAGTCTTCATCATTAGCGATAACAGTTATCCCAGATATTAAGGGCTTACCTAGTTCACAATAGTATAACTTCTTTATACTTTCTTGCATGGACCGTTCGAGAAAGGTGATACATTCACCGTATGTCATTCCAAAAAAATCGTGATCATTGAAAGTGAAGTTGATACCATGGTTATACGAGAAAGGATTTCTAAGAAAAACACCTTTGAAGTTCAGCTCCACTATAGGGTGGAGTCCATCAGGAGTTGGCCTCGAGCTAGACATTGTGGGTTGGTTGACTGCTCACTGACTTCGATCGGAGAAAACGACTTCGAACCCTAGGTTTAGTGCTTCGTATTCACTGTAAGATGAGAAAAAAGAAGAGCGAAGAAGGAGTCATCTGGCTAAATAAATGTGTTTATTTTGACTTCTAAATCCTACGTGGATAAAATAAATGACATATATAATGTAAACTTATTCCACATTAGGAATACCACCGGTTGTTCCGTTTACCAGGTGCATAAGGGGGTAATTAGCCGGTATTTACTAACATTAAGGATCAATTGAGCACAAAAAAAAAACTTTAGTGACTAAATGTGCAAATTGACCAAACATTGATGTGCTACACTGTCAAAAACCCATATCTAAATTGGTCACATTCTTTATTGAAATTGCAGTTTGGTCCTTACTCTGTTCCTATTGGTTAAACAACATCTTTAATCCTTCTAAAAACAGAGTTTTCATATTACACCTTCTCATTTTTTTTTTGTTTTCTACCCTCCGTAGATATTTTCCTTTTTGCTTTTTTGCTTTTCTATCACTTAATGCTCTCCATGGTTGGAGAGCTCATTGTACACGTGCTCACTTCGGGATATCGATCGTATACGTGTTTCCCTTTCAATATTGTTTTGTTTTTTGATCACCGATCAACTCTCTTCTTCACTTCTTTCAAGGCTGCTAATAAATTTTGGGTCACAAGTTTATTCGTTGGTGTTCCTCGCTTGTTTCTCCAGGTGTTTCACTTGCTGCAAGGTCCCTCCTCCTCTCTCTGGAGAAAGAGGTCGTCGTCCCTCGCTCTTTCCCCCTTCTCTGTCTCTGCCACGATCAAGAAGAAGATGTGTTTGTGCTTTCTTACATCCACCGCCATCGCGAACTTTTGTGGAATCCAGGTTCCGATCTTCTCCGCTCTACTTCTTCCTTTTCTTACGGTCTCCAGAAACATCTGACACGAGTACTCTTTCTGACAAATAAACTTCAGCCTCCATGAACCATAATCGACGTCCCAATCAGCCATCAAGGATTGGACCCTGTTGCTCGATCAGATAAAGGATGGATGTGATGGACCAGATCATAAATTTCATTTTTTTTACAGATGGAGTCAAACAAACTTCAGATGATGAATCAAGAAAGAACAAAGCAGAGCAGTTAAAGCTTTTCAACCTAACTTGCTTTTGTCTGCTCCTCCCTCACTTAATGATCAGGTTAGCATTTCTCTTCCGATTTTATAAAATTTATCTTAATTTTAGCCTTCCAGTTGTTAGATTTGAATGGAATTGGACTTTGCTGAAACCACCATTGATAGGTACAAAGAACAGACACATGTTATCTTTGCAAGAGTTGCGCATACCAACTGTTCGACATGTTGCTCCAAAGAATAATCATCTTTTCATTTTTTAATCTATTGGCTTTCTTTGATGTTCATTTACTGAATTTGAATATGAATGAAGATTTGTTTACACTTTTTCAGGTAACGATTTTCTTCTCTTCTTCTTGTTGCACTGTAGACCCAAATCCATAGTGGGCACCCCTGCATACATTGCTCCTGAGGTTTCTGTGTACTTTGTGTATCTGATTGCTGACAGCTTGAAACTCAGTCATTTTTTTCAACCGAAATTTAAATTAATGATTTGTATCTAACTTTATAAAATAAGTGATGACATTAAATAATAAAGTAAGTGCTAAAAAAATAAGTGATTTTTTGTATCTAACTTTATAAAATGAGGCAAAGATACTCCATCAAGTGTAGCCCTACGAATGACACGCCCAACACTCCGAGAACAACATTCCATGTTAGATTGGGAACAGATAGAAATATAGGAATACATGGATTATTTTCTTCAAAACCTGGACATTATCAATTCCAGAGAGGTACAATTAACTTCATTGAGCACTCTTTTTTTTAAACTAAAATTGTTTTTAAAGCCTAAGTTCGTTTGGTCTGGGAGGTAATGTTGGCTTTTGATTATTGTAATTGTTTTCAAATAGTTCAAGAAAAAAAATGAAAAATGTTAAAATTTTCAATCATTTCTCTTTTTGACACTCAAAACCAATCAATGGACCTAGGGGTGCATGAAAAGTTTGAGAGAAAACGGAGAAATGAGCAAGTATTTTGTATCTTTTTGAAAGGTAATATGTGATACATACACCGCACAAGGCGTACCTATCCCAACAAAGAAACGTGGTAAGGCTGCTGAGATTTCAATGATCCTAAAGTTGTATCACAAGTTCCCTCGTAGGTTTTTTGAGTGAAAATTTTATGATTTTTTCATGCAATTTAAATTTTGACTTATCTTGGTTTTAAAGATAACTTATACATCTAGTTCAATGATATATGATTTAAGGTTTAGAATTGAGCAAGAGTACACTTTGCCTCGAGAAGATGTCAAGTGGCCTTTGGGTTGACATGTTGGAGGGTACCCTGCTGCTCCTCAGGTATAATCATGATCTTTCTTTCTCAACTCTTGTCTGTTTTCAAAATTTATTCCTAAAATGCGTATCAGGGGCATAACAGTCAACATCACAACACCAAACGGTCGTAACAAACTCCACACATTTCCAAGAGCAAGGGACAAAAGAAGTTTCATGACGAGTTGGGTACTTATCTGCACTTTAGCACCGCTTTTCACCCGCAGACGGATGGTCAGAGTGAGCGGACCATCCAGACTCTGGAGGATATGTTGCGGGCGTGTGTTTTAGACTTCGGAGGTAGCTGGGATACTTACCTTCCTTTGGCTGAGTTTTCCTATAATAACAGCTATCATGCGAGTATTGATCGTCCTCCGTTCGAGATGTTGTATGGGAGGAAGTGCAGGACCCCAATATGCTGGGGCGAGGTTGGGCAGAGAGTCATGGGGAGTACCGAAGTGGTACTCAAGACTACAGAGAGGATCCAGCAGGTTCGGAGTAGGCTTCAGACTGCTCAGAGTCGGCAGAAAAGTTATGCTGACAAGCGTCGATCGGACCTGGAGTTCCAGGTCGGGGATATGGTGCTCCTGAAGGTGTCGCCTTGGAAAGGCGTCATTCGGTTCAGGAAGCGAGGCAAGTTGGGCCCCAGGTACATTGGACCTTTCAGGGTCGTTGCCCGGGTGGGCAAGGTGGCGTATAGGCTGGACCTGCCAGCCGAACTCAGTCTGATTCATAACACTTTTCACGTCTCCCAGTTAAGGAAGTGTCTGGTGGACGATTCGGCAGTGGTGCATTTGGAGGATATCCAGGTGGATGACAGCCTGAACTACATTGAACGGCCTGTGGCGATCCTCGACAGGAAGTCGAAGGATCTAAGGAACAAGAGGGTGGAGCTGGTGAAGGTGCAATGGCAACACCGCAAGGGCTCGGAATGGACTTGGGAGTCGTAGGATGAGATGAGGGAGCACTACCCCGAGCTTTTTCAGGACTCAGCAGCAGACTTCGAGGACGAAGTCTAAAATAAGTGGGGGAGATTTGTAACACCCGGTTCCTGTTACGTATTTATATTCAAGTAACTCCATGTTTTGCTTTGGGACTCGGCGAGTTGGAGGCCCAACTCATCGAGTAGACTCGACTTTCGATCGGGGGTTAAGTGACCTACTCGATGAGTCGGGAGACCGACTCGACGAGTAGGACTGTCTGGATGAAACCCTAATATTTGGGTTTGCACCCTATTTAAACAACTTATAACGCCCAAACCCCGCCCCCATCGTCCCTCCCAACCCAGAGAAAACCCTAACTCGAACCCTAAGCCTCTATTGTGTGTTCTTGAGCTTGTTAGTACCTTTTTGTGTGTTTTTTAAGTTGGAAAGGAGGAAGGAAGCTTGGGAGTTCAAGTAGAAGCAAAAAGATCCATAGGTTTTGCTCCATTCTCAGCTCATTCAAGGTAAAAAGCTGGAACCTTCACCATCTATGTGACATCCCCATTTTCACGGCAGAAAAGATCGATTTTGTTTATGCTTCATAAAAATCAGAGTACCTCTTTTAGTGAAAATGTTGCGGAATTTGTTCCCAGTAAAACATGATAAATATGTTATCAAAACATTTCCGAAGAAATGTATTTTTATTCATTTTAAAACATTTGGGATGTCATCATCAATACAGAAACATAAGCATAAACAGAACTTACATTCATTTACACTAAGTAGCTTCGTATCGACACCTGTGATACAAATAAGCTTGAGTGGGTCAGGTTGGGAAACCTGGTGAGTAGATAGGGTTTTCAACCCACAATAATATAATTATTATGTTTAACCATCAAACAATCAACCCAATTACTCATCCCCATTATCTTCTTTACTCTTAAGGGTCTACCCTAAGAATCAACAATTTCTCATTCATTCATTCCCAAGGATTATCCTATGGAATAGACACAAAGTCCATCGTTACCAGGGTTTATGGATTACAATTGGTGAACACGTAGTCCAAAATATCTGGTGAACACTTAGTTCAAAAATACCTAGTGAACACACTCAGTTCAAAATACCTGGTGAACACTTAGTTCAAAAATACCTAGTGAACACACTCAGTTCAAAATACCCGGTAAACACTTAGTTCAAAAATACCCGGTAAACACACTCAGTTCAAAGTACCTACAGGTTACGAGCCTGCTAGCGTTCCATTGGAATGTCTAGTAAAGTCTGTGGTCGTCATCTATACTCCACTAGATGACCGGATCACTGTCAACCTTGAGGTCTTTCATCGTATTATCACACAACAACTATTTCATCTACCCATGTTTTACCCAACACATTTTGTAGATATAAAATATATATACAGTTTAAAACATTTAAAACATGTATAAAAAAAATCTTTCACCCAGCATAGACAGCAAATATTCAGACAATATGCACACATAGCACGTAATTTATATTAAATACTTCATATTTATGTGTAAGATGAAAGGAACTATGCACTCAAATGATAAGGTGGTGACTCGGTACTCGGACAGCACTTCGTTATCTCAAAACAATTTTCCCTTTACAAAACCTAGTATCAATACCATTAGGGTTTAGTCTAACGTTAACCGCGACTAATTAATAGTCTAGCTATTATTATTATTATATAAGCGTTAAACAACACTCTATATAACTCATAATAATAGCCAAAATAATTATTTTAAGGTCTTAATAATGTTACTATAATTATTTAAAAGCTATATTAAAAATTGCATAGGCGTAGCTCACTTACAGCGGGTTTTATAGAAAACCGGGCTTCGCTTGGAGCAGCGTTTCCGAACCGAAAGACCCTTTTTCTCGGGACTCCGGGAGCCTCGGGGCTTCCTTCGGGTGCTAGGGGGTTTACCTAGGCTTAGGAGGGTTTTAAGGGCTAGAGAGAGAAAGTAGTGAGATAAGGAATGAGAGAATTGTGTGTGAAATCGGCTGGCCCTCGCATGCCTTTTATAGGCCTGATCTGCGGAGCACGCTGGGCGTACTCTTCGGAGTACGCTGCGCGTAGTGATTGGTCGTACAACACGCGTCGCTCTTCGGATGGGTCATCGTGGCGAGTTCCGGAACCGCACAAGGTTAGTCCGTTGGGCGTAGAGACTTCGTACGCGAGGCGTACTCGTACGCGGGGCGTCGGTTGCGAACACTGGGCGTCCGAGGCGATACGTGGCATCATCTTGTGCGAGACGGTGGGGATCAAGCAAGGGTCGAGATTTGGCCACGTCATCACCCCCTCGCAGATTCGCAACTTTCCTTCCCGACTTCAAAAATTCATAACTCTCGCATATGTGTAACATCCCAATTTTCAAGTCCAAAAATTTCTTGTAGATTAACTGACTCATAAAAACATTAATAAGAAAATACTGTGAAAACACATCATCTCATAAAACAATGTATCATATCTGAAAGCCAAAGTCATAAAATAATAACATATCAGAGTACAATCCCAGAAAACTCCATGCGGAAATCATGTGTGTGTGATGCGCTGCTACACTGCCGGCTCCTTCCTCTTAGACGAAGAGGTACATGGAACCAAAACTAAAACTGTAAGCACAAAGCTTAGTGAGTTCCCCCATCATACCACATACCATACAGACATATCGCATACATACTGCCGGACAATTCTGGGGTGCCCGACCTACCCAGTACGGCCATTCTGGGGTGCCGACCTACCCGTGTCAAGCCATTCTGGGGTGCTGACCTACCCATGTCAAGCCATTCTGTGGTGCTGACCTACCCTTCGGTCCTATCAACCGAACCTCGGGGACTATTCCACCCCTACTGCTACTATCACATATATCATAACGTAAACATGCTGTCAGACGTTTCTGGGGTGTCCGACCTACCCTTCGGTCCTAACAACCGGACTTGAGGACTATTCCCTCCCTACTACCACTATCACATATAACATATCATGCCAGAATATAATCATATCATCACATACTGTCAGACATATCTGGGGTGTCTGACCTACCCTTTCGGTCCTAACAACCGGACTCTACTACTGTCACCTATACGTATCATGCTAGCATATAACATATCAAGTAGTAGCAAACATAGCAAACATAGACAATTATCACGAAAACAATCATCTATAACAACTCCTACTGGTGGGCCGGCATTGTGGTCGTAGACCCACCGTTACTGGAAGGTAACTCACCTCGTACAAGTAGTTGCTGATAATTTGTGCGGGAAACCTCTGTCTGCTGCCGCTCCGGAAATCCTCCGGCTACAATCCCCACAAAATACTTGATCAGAGTCTGATATCTACTCTTAGGGTAAAATGACCATTTTACCCCCAACCAAGTCCAAGTCAAAGTCAAAGTCAACCTCCAGTTGACCCGACTCGCCGAGTTGGGCCGTCAACTCGTCGAGTCCCTATCTCTTCAACTGTCCTCATCCACGATTCTACTCGTCGAGTTTAGCGACGACTCGACGAGTTCCTCTTCGATATGAACATCGAATGAACCTTCATCCGACTCGCCGAGTTGTATGAACACTCGTCGAGTTCACCTTCATCAGATGAACAAGTTCTGACCTTGACTCGCCGAGTTGTATGAACAACTCGTCGAGTTCATCTTCAATCATAAGGAGATTGCCTTGGACTCGCCGAGTCTGTTCTAGCACTCGTCGAGTCCCATGAACTCCAGGTCTAAAACTAAGTTCAATGCGTTGGGTCACCCTTTCTGTCCTGCTACAACCCTTCTAACACCCAACTGAGTTCTTTGACCCTCAACAGATATGAGACTTAAAGCCTTGGACTCGTCGAGTCCCAAGAACGGACTCGCCGAGTCGATAACATCCACACCCTAAATCCTCGATTTCTGATGTACAACACTTGACCAAATGATAGATCCAAGCCCCTAAGCTCGATCTAGCACGTAAAGTTACGAACTTTACGTGCATGCATGAGACTTTTGAGCCAAAAGGCTCTGGCTCTAAAATGGCTCTAGTGTTTGCATGGGCCTTCCTTGGGTGCAAAAGCAACCCAAATCTGTCTTGTGACCCTTTAAAGACCTGATTCCAAAGCCTCAACCCCCAACCATGTTTGCAATCATGGTTGGTTACCAAAAATGGCTTATAAAAGCCCTAAATCTCCCCAAAAAGGGATTTATCAAATGAAAGAGCAAGGTACAGACTTTATACCTCTCAAAGACTGCAAATGATGAACCAAACTCGAATCTTTCAGTTCCCTCTTGATCCTTCTATGCTCTTCCTTCTTCCTTGTGAACAAAACCACCAAAATCACTCAAAAGCCTTAGATCTTGCACCAAAACACTTAGGGTTTGCTATGGAGGGTTTCTGGGAGCATAAAGGGGCGATGGAGGCTACATAAGGTTGTTTAAATAGGGTGCAAACCCTCATATTAGGGTTTTGTCCAGTCAGAGCCTACTCGTCGAGTTCGGGACCCGACTCGACGAGTCCATCACTTAAATCCCGCGCCTCATCCCGCTTCTACTCGGCGAGTTGGTTCTTCAACTCGCCGAGTCCAAGGTCAAAAATGCAAAATACTTAAATAAAAATACATACCAAGAACCAGGTGCTACAATATGAGCTCTGTTTACGACGTTCTTTATATCCACGTGTAGGCGGGAACGTACTCTACAACTTTCGTTTAGACTCCGTCGGCTAATTTTGACTTTATTTTAAAAGTTATATTATTAACAGGCCGAGACAGGATTGGTCCGTTAAAATCTCATAACTTCTTCATCCGACGTCCGCTTTCGTTTGTCTTTTTATCGTTATGCTACTATTAATGAGGTCTTCGATTCTCGTTTAGGTTGTGTCGGCTAAAAACCGCTCGATCTAATATTCGAACTTCGGGTTGTACACTGCTAAGCCGAAACTTCGAAAAATCATAACTTCCTCATACGAAGTCAGATTTGGGCGTTCTTTTCATGCACGCTCTCGGTTGAGCGTATTCTACGACTTTCGTTTAGATTGCTAAGGCTAAAAGTCGCTCTATCGTAAATTCACTATTTAAGTCTCCCGGTGTCGTGTTAGTTCTGTCGCGAAACTTCGACAGGTCATAACTCCTTCGTTATAACTCGGATTTCGGCGTTCTTTATATGTACGGAACCCTTGTGACATATTCTACAACTTGGTTAAGATTACTCCTTCTAAATAATCTTCCATTAAAAACTCATTTTTTTATGCTCATTGTCTCTAAATTGACTAGCCTGGATCTACGAGCGTTACTATCTATCTCTTAGATCTTGATTTGGGGCTATTTCCTACCCTTTTATGAGTTTAGAGAAGCTATAATTGGATTTGAGAGTGTGCTTGGAGTTGCACTTCAGATCTGGAGTTATTGGGGGTCCTTATGACATAAAGGTGCCAACTTTGTTGCCATAAGCACCCCATGCATCTTATAGACTTCTTTTTATGGTCTTTTGAGTCAAAAACCCCATGCATGGACATCAAGTTTGTAGTTTTACGTATAAAATGGACCCTAGAAGGCCAGATCTATGGTTTTGATGCGTTAAGACCCATTAGAATCGACTGAATAGTTTTGGACAAAGAGGGACTCGGCGAGTCACTTGGGTGACTCGGCGAGTCGGGTCGCATTTTCCCCCAACTGTCTTCTGGATATGGTTTTTTGGTTGATTGGAAGGAACACTCAGCCTGTTAGGGGTTTGTTATGGACTTGAAGATCGAAGGACTCGACGAGTTCAAGGAGGAACTCGGCAAGTTCAAGGCTATGTCCCAACCACATGAAGACGAACTCGACGAGTTCAAGGATGAACTCGGCGAGTCATAGACTGAACACCTTCATATGGATGAAGATGGACTCGACGAGTTCAAGGACAAACTCGGCGAGTCGGTTGAAGATAGTCTGATGTGTTGTTGAAGGCGAACTCGTCGAGCTCTTGCTAGACTCGATGAGTAGGGACGAGATTATGGCATTTTGTGGACGTGGGGACTCGGCGAGTTGGTAGACCAACTCGTCGAGTCGAGTCAACCAGATGTTAACTTTGACCAAAGTTGACTTTGACCAAGGTGTTGGCCTTGACTTTGTCTTGGACTGGAGTTGACCCTTGTAAGGGTTACGAGTATGGATTGATGAGTTAGAAAAGTTGTTGTGTAGGAATCGAGGATTCGAGGAGAGTTGGTTTTCATACCGAGATCAGTGCAGACACTACACGACTTTGAGGTGAGTTTCCTCCTAGTAGGAGTGGGTCTACGGTCACAATGTCGACCCACAAGTAAGAGTGTTGGATATATGATTGTCTTTGTGATAATTATCTAGTGTTGATATGTGATATGATTATTGTGTCTGATATGATTATTGTGCTTGATATGTTATTGTGCTTGATATGTGCTTGCAGTAGTATGGGGTGAAATAGTCCCCGGTTACCGGTTGAAAGATACCGAAGGGGAGGGTAGCTCCCAGTTACCGGTTGCAAGATATCGAATGGGAGGTTAGTTCCCGGTTACCGGTTGAAAGATATCGAAGAGGAGTCCAGCTCCTGGCTATGCTCGACAGTTACCGGTTGAAAGATACCGAGGGGGCGAGGATTATGCATTATTTGGTATGGGTATGATGGGGAACTCACTAAGCTTTGTGCTTACAGTTTTTAGTTTTGGTTTCAGGTACCTCTTCATCCAAGGGGAAGGAGTCGGCGGGGTAGCAGTGCATCACACATATACACACGACTTTCCGCATTTGAGAAACCTGGGATTGTACTCTGACATTTTATCATTTGAAGTCATGGTTTTCAAGACTTGTGATTTTTACTTGATGTTTTGAAACGATAACAATGATGTTTTCCGTGAACTATTTTATTAAGTAATATGAAATAAAAAAAATTGGGTCTCGATTTTGGGATGTTACACTAATATTAAAAAGACCATTTACCATGTATATGATAAGTAATATTGAGTTTTTTTTGGTGTGATATAGCATCTTAAAATGAACAAAATACTACACTTATTATGTTTTACATGACAAAAGGGTAAAACAGTCTTTTGCTTTTACAGGTTAATGAAAGTTTAACGAGTTGGAAAAATAAATGGCTTGGTGAAGTCGAAAGTGATTTGTATGGTTAGTCTCTTATTTCATTGTTATAATGATTTTTTTACGATTAAATCAATTTAGTCACTTGATTATTTTTTGTAGTGATTAAGACATTATTATACTTTTTTAGGTGAAAACGCTGGGGAGATCACAACTTCATTATCAGTCAAAGTCGTGGTCCCCTTTTTACACTTAAAGAAGGATTCCAATAGGTATTGTTTGATTATTTTTTCCAAATGGAGTTGACGGGTTAAAGGGTTATTTCTTTTTTGACATTATTTATAATTCTTTGCCTGTTTCGAAGCTCCTTTAATTTTTCACCCTCCACATTTATGAGTTATTATATGTCTAAATGATTCCTTCTGCACTAATTCAAGTACATCAAGGGTTTTCTGTAACTAGGATGAGAGATGATAATGGCAGTAAGGGAAATAGGGGTAAGTTGGTCATTTTTGAGGATCACCGAGTGTATTATTGCTTTTGCAACTTAGGATTACACTTTTAATTCTTATACAATTGCTTTTGCAACCTACTTACATTTCGATACCAATATGAGCAATGTATTTTATATGTTTTCTTTTTCTTTTTGTTTTAATAATATATATTTATTTCACAGGACAAATGACAAAATATTTGGAAAGCAAGTGGTCTACTAATGGGAAGCAGGATATAGGTTAGTTATCTTATTTTATCTTCTATTATTTGAATGCCACTAATCTTTATAGTTTTTTTTGGTAAAAAATATTTTAATATGATGATTATAAATGAATGGAAAGTTTGTGCAAATCACAGAATGAGCAAAAGAGATGTCAACAATGGCGTCCATTGACAAAATCAATATTGGCAAGGAGACATGTAACCTGTTTTTCTCTCTCGAGTACAAATGGTGTTGTTTTTGTTTTGTGGGAGATTCTAACACAAAATCAATTTTGGTAACCTGCAATGGATATGCTATTTGTTTTTGGTTAGAAAATCATTAAGTTTTTGTTTTTTGCAACCTGTTTTCTCTCTCGAGTACAAATGGTGATGTTTTTCTTTGGTGCGTGATTTGATCATTCAAGGAAATGAAATCAAAGAAGAATATAAGATTGTATTTTCATTGTTTTTTAAAATCTATTCAAATATGACATTCTATTTCTTTTACTAACATGATTTATCGTTACATTTCCACTCATCCGATTGATGGCGAATTACACAGAATAGCAACATACTTTAATGTGGATACCAATTCATGCAATGTACTTCATTATTTGTCTCACAAAACGAACACGTTCCGCCCCTCGCAACGCACGGGAAACCCCTCTAGTTGTTGTTGTTGTTGTTGTTATTATTATTATTATTATTATTATTATTATTATTATTATTAAACATTTACATTTACATAATAGCTTTCATTTAATTAATTCATCTGTCAAACCTATAAAATTTAGTCTTTAATCATATAATTATTCGATATTATTTATCAGCCTTATTTAGAAATAATTAAACGGAAACGGGGTGTTACACGAATCCACTACCATATCTTGCTTGGAACTCCTCCAAGTTACTAATCCACCATTTATTAAGAACACCAATCCCGATTGCGAACGAGAATCGACTTTATCATTTTGGAAGCTAGAATTAGTATAACCCTTTACATTGAGAAACTTGAGAACATGTCCTTTTTCTGTTGTCCTCCTTATATCCTTGAGAATCCTATTGACATCAGTCCAATGATTTTCATCAAGATTAGATTGGTATCGACCTGTCTTGCTTAAAGCACACAAGACATCATACCTTGTACATATCATGGAATACATGATCGATCCCACAATCAAAGCATATGGAACTCGACTCATTCTCTCTAACTCATATATATACTAAGACACTAGGCTCTGCTCAATGTCACACTATGTTGCATAGGCATGAACCCTTTCCTACAGTCTTGCATCTTGAATTTCTTCAAGACTTTATCTATGTATGTTCTCCGGCTCTAATCTAATGTTCACATAGATCTATCTCTACAAATATTTATACTAGTATGTATGTTGTTTCTCCTAAGTCTTTCAAAAAAAACAATCCCCAAGCTATGATATATACACATGGCTCATCTTTAATCCTCCTCGAAAAAACAAACTCTTTGACTTTCTCATCGAAGCAAAGATTACAACCATGAGATGCTTTTTAACTCCATAAATTGATTTTTCAAACCCACACACTTTATTTGGATACTTGGACTATACATAATACAAAACCTTATGGTTGTACCATATACACATCCTATATTAGTTTCCCAATAAGGAAACCGGTTTTTACATCCATTTTCCATATTTTATAATCATAGAATGTTGTTATGGTAAATAATACCCTAATAGATTTAATCATTGTCACTGCTGAAAAAGTTTTCTTATAATTAATTCTTTGAGTTTGAGTGTAACCATTTTCTACTAGTCATGCTTTGTATGTATTGTACCTTACCATCCATGTTTGTCTTCTTTTTGAAGACCCATTTACATCCAACTATTTTAAGGCCATGTATATGATCAGCTAAGTGTTGGGTTATAATGATCTCTAGAGCACAAAGCAACGAAACCATTACATAAAAAACATGATTATCATATCTCACAAAGAACTTGTTCTAATAACCTTTTAGTAAAAAAAAAAAAACAAGAAAGACAAATCATGTACTCTTGTAACCTTTGATCAAAATCTCCTTGTTATTAAATGTTATACATATATGAATTATAAATCCTCTCATGAAATGTTTATGATTATGAAAGTTCTATATGGTATAAAAGCATCATGCATTGTATAATGTGATGTGTGAATGGTATGTTAAAATGAAAGAAATAAATGTTTGCGTTGTGGTCATGCATACATGAATGAAGATCATTGCATTGGTTAAAGGTCTAGACACCAAGAAAACTATTGTGATGGTACTTTCTGTAATGCCCGTAGATCCGGGCTAGTCAATTTAGAGATAATAGGGGTCGAAAACGACTTTTCGACAAAATATTATTTAGAATAAATAATCTTAACCAAGTTGTAGAATACGTCTCAAGGTTTCCGTACATATAAAGAACGCCGAAATCCGAGTTATAACGAAGAAGTTATGACCCGTCAAAGTTTTACGGCAGAACCGGCACGGCACCGGGAGACGTAAATAGTGAATTTACGATAGAGAGACTTTCAGCCTTAGCGATCTAAACGAAAGTTGTAGAAAACGTTAAACCGATAACATACAAAAAAAGTACGCCCAAATCTGACTTCGTATGAGGAAGTTATGAATTTTCTAAGATTTGGCATCAGTGCACGACCCGAAACTCGAATTTTAGATCGAGCGGTTTTTGGCCTACGCGACCTAAAGGAGAATTGAAGATCTCATTAATAGGAACTCAACGGTAAAAAGACAGATGAAAACGGAGTCCGTATGTAGAAGTTATGAATTTTACGCGGACATTTAACAGTATAATCTCCTCGTACTGTTAAATTTAAGATCGGTCGAGAATTAGCCGACGGAGTCAAAATGAAAGTTGTAGATCTTATTTTTACCTACGCGTGGATATAAAGAACGTCAAAAACGGAGGTCGTATGTGAAAGTTACGGATTTTAGAAGTCGGAAGTGTGTTGTGCGAAAATGGGTGATGTGGCACAATCTTGGCCATTGCTTTCTCCCCAAGTCTTGCCACTAGATGGTGACATGTGGCACCAAGTTCAGCCATTTTCACCCTATAAATAGAACCTCTTCCACCCTCATTTTCTTCACACCTTTCCCATTCTTTCTTCTCTTTACTCTCTCTCTAGAACCTCTCTCTAGCCCCGAAATCCCCCCGAAAAGTCTAGGGAACCTCCCTAGCACGAGGCGGAAGCCCCGGAGTGCTCGACGGCTCCGAGAAGAAGAGCTTTTCGGCTCGGGAACGCTGCTCCAAGCAAAGCCCGGTTTTCTATAAAACCCGCTGTAAGTGAGCTACGCCTACGCTATTTTTAATATATCGTTTATTTAATTATAGTAGCGTTATTAGGAACTTATAATAAGTACTTGGGCTATTATTATGGGTTATATAAGTTTGTTTAACGCTTATATAATAGTAATAATAGCTAGACTATTAATTAGTCTCGGCGAATAATAGACTAAACTCTAGTGGTAATAATACTAGGTTTCGTCGAAGGAAATTATTTTTAAGAAGCGAAGCGCTGTCTGAGTTCGGATTACCACCTTTTCAAGTGAGTGCATAGTTACTTTCATCTTACACATAGATATGAAGTATTTTAAATAAATTACGTGTTATGTGTGCATATTATCTGTATACTTGCTATCTATGCTGGATGAACGATTTTATACATGTTTTAAATGATTTAAACTTTATATATATATATATATCTACGAGAATATGTTGGGTAAAACATGGGTAGATGTAATAGATGGAATATGAGTTGGATGATGAGTTGAGAGGTGTTATAGACCACGAGGTAAGTGTGAGAGGTGGACGATGTGAGAATCCTTTCCCAAATGATGGCCCCGTCATCTAGCAGAGTATGGATGACAACCACAGACTATTCTAGACAGTCCAGTGGAAAACTGGCAGGCTCGCAACCTGTAGGTGTTGTGAACGATGTGTTCACCGGTGTACTCTAAAAACCCATTGACATGTATTGCGAGTGGACTCTCGAAGACGATATTGTCAATAAACGAGATAACCCTAGCAGCTGTGCTCGAAGGACAATACTGGTAGCTGCGCCTCACATAGAATGTCACAATTCTGGCAGCTGCGCCTAAGTGATAGAACTAGCAGTTGTGCTTGACAGCTGTGTCATTGACAACGATGGACTTCGTGCCGATTCCTTAGGATGATCCTTAGGAATGAATGAACGAGGAATAATTGATTCTTAGGGTAGATCCTTAAGAGTAAATAAGATAATGGGGATGGGTAACTGGGTTGATTGTTTGATGTTTAAACATAATAATTATATTATTGTGGGTTGAAAACCCTATGTACTCACCAGGTTTCCCAACCTAATATGATAATGTCTATTTGCGGAACAACCCACTCGACAATGAAATTCTCTACATGGAACGACAATGAAATTACCTATAGGGAATGACCCTGAGGGACATCATGGTGTCCGTATATAAGTTGATTTATTCTTCTCACTATGGTGTGGGGAAAATAAGTGTTTGGATCATGCATTGAATTACATAGCATAAATACATGTAAACATTTATAAATTAAAATGCCTTTGACAAATGTTTTGAAATATATATGTATCGTATCAAAATGTATGTATCTTATGAGATATTTTTGTATTACGTATTATTTTTGATGTATTTCCAAGTACATGCATTCTTAGCATTGGATTGGGATTATAGAAGTATAGAAGTCACACAAGACTTTTACGAATAGAAGTTATGACCGGGAGAACGACTACCTCCCTATAAGTTATAGTTATTGTATGTTATTTGAAGAACAATATGTATTGGTTTAGTAACATCATATTTGAGTGTATTCTAATCGTTTGGTTGTCTCATATTTGTTTTAGGTTGGTCATTTACATATGTTCGTTTATGATTTTGGCCGATTTACACAAAGGTCGTTATAAAATTTGTGCAATTTACGCAAAGGTCGTTATAAAATTTCGATAGAAGTGTTAGAATATTTTTGGATAATAGATCCAAGTGATTAACCGATTATGATGCAATGAGATCATGTATTAATCTATCTTCCAAATGTATCAAATGTGGATATAAGAGGTGAAGTGTTACGACGTTGCCCTCTCCAATCTACTAAATCGAATCTCAAATGAAGGGTTATTCAAATCAATTCCGAGCTTTGTTACCTCTATAACATTGTCCCATAATATGAAGCTGATATCTTATCCTCTTGCCCCTACGTTATCGAAGTTTGGCAATGGTTCTAACAATTGGTGTGTACTGAACTTTGCTCCTTCGATAGAATGAAACAAGATGCAAGATGCCCATGGAATATTTCTTTCCCGAGATAAAAGAAAACAAAGTCAAAAACCACACATAGAAAACTATTGACGATCGTCTATTTAAAAATCCATAAAATCTGTGGAAAGGCGTACATTTGTTGGGATTTGGCGCCATCTGTTCAAACTGACGTCCGCTCTGACTTCAACCCACAGAAACCTCCCTCATTTCCTTTTTCTCCTACGAATCTTGATCTCCCCTTTAAATTCTACCTCGCTTTCCTCTCCTTCTCTCTTCCCATTTCCAAAAATAAATAGATCAAAGAAGACGCCCACAGTACGCATAGAAACTAAGAAGATAATACGAAGAACAAAATGGGAGAAAATGGAGTTTTCGCAGCTATAGTCGCTGGAGATACCTTCAAATACTACTCAGAAGGCGAATGGAGGGTTTCTTCCTCCGGGAAATCTGTTCCGATCATCAACCCAACCACCCGAAAGACCCAATTCGAAGTCCAAGGTACAATTAATATGTTGTCGATCTATTTACGTACCCATGGTTTTCTTCTTTCTCTGATTCTCTCATATGGGCATTTAAAGAAATCATGAAGTTCCCAACTTTTTAGGGATTTTGACTTTTTTGGTTATCGTGTATTTGTTACACAACATGTAATCAACAAGATTTTAACATTTTTTTTTTCAATTCATTTCCCCATACCCATAATTTAAAGAAATTTCTACGAACCTTTTAGGGATTTTGACCTTTTGTTCTTGTGATGCAGCATGTACACAAGAAGAAGTGAACAAGGTGATGGAATCAGCAAAAATTGCCCAAAAGTCATGGGGCTAAAACGCCTCTATGGAAAAGAGCAGAATTGCTACATAAAGCTGCAGCAATTCTTAAAGATCACAAAAAGCCCATAGCTGAATGTCTTGTTAAAGAGATTGCCAAACCAGCCAAAGATGCTGCTACTGAAGTACGTTACATAAACCGTTTCTTAATTTCTGTGTATCTTATATGTAAACTGTTGCTTAATTTAGTCGATGAAATGATCAGTTTATGTTTTACGTCAATCCATAACATGTAAAATCACAATTTGCATCATTAGTTTTGCAGAAGAATATGGGCAAATAGGTAAATTTAACTGGAAAGTGTTATATAATATGTTCTATGTACATGAGATAAAGTTGGAAAAATGAATCATAAAAGATCGATTATCTATCGCTAGAAAAGTTATGCTTCTGCCATCTTCTAAAGAATCTAATAAAGATAGAATCTTTAAGTACAATCCATTATGACGTAAAGTGGAACAAAGATTCTCTCTTTATCTCTTGCATGCACAAAAGACATAAATGCCCTTCTCATTCTCATCATCAAAAATAGCCCTAGAAAGTAGCAAATGTGAAGTTGTAATTTTTTGATTTTGAAGATTGTGAGGTCTGGAGATTTGGTGGCATATTGTGCTGAAGAAGGTGTTAGAATCCTTGGTGAAGGAAAGTTTTTAATGTCAGATAGTTTTCCTGGAAATGAAAGGACCAAATATTGTCTAACATCAAAGGTAATTTTTCTACATTGATACATATACATAACTATAATTACATTTCTATTATATCTAAAGAAATGTAAATTATTGCAGATTCCTTTAGGTGTTGTATTAGCAATCCCACCCTTCAATTATCCAGTCAATTTGGCTGTTTCAAAGATTGCTCCTGCTCTTATTGCAGGCAACTCCCTTGTACTCAAGCCTCCTACACAGGTATGTAAATTATAAAGGGTTTGAAAACTGTTGGTGAAATGTCTAAAATACCCTTTAATCGGTTTCAGGGTGCAGTGTCTGCACTCCACATGGTACATTGCTTTCACTTGGCTGGTTTCCCAAAAGGTGTCATTAGTTGTGTTACTGGAAAAGGTTCAGAGATTGGTGACTTTCTCACAATGCATCCCATAGTTAATTGTATAAGGTAATTATTAACTTAACAGAAAAAAAAAATAATCGAAATTGTTTTCTATAAAATAATAAATATTGTTATTCAGCTTCACGGGTGGAGACACGGGAATTGCAATCTCAAAAAAGGTGTCAATGATTCCATTACAAATGGAATTAGGTGGAAAAGACGCTTGCATTATCCTTGAGGATGCAGATTTGGAATTGGCTGCATCCAATATTGTCAAAGGAGGCTTCTCTTATAGGTTACACCATGTTCTTCATCTTAAGGGCATTTTGGTCATTTTCATTCAACTAGTCTTAGGTGTTGTTTCTTTTTGACTTAATTAGTGGTCAACGATGCACGGCTGTTAAAGTTGTGTTGGTGATGGAATCCGTAGCGGATATTCTCGTGAAAAAAGTCAACGAAAAAGTCGGAAAGTTGACCGTGGGCCCCCCGGAAAACGATTGTGACATCACTCCCGTGGTTACGGAATCGTCTGCAAATTTTATAGAAGGTTTGGTTATGGATGCAAAGAAAAAAGGAGCAACATTTTGTCAAGAGTATAAGAGAGAAGGTAATCTTATATGGCCACTTTTGCTTGATAATGTCAAACAAGACATGAGAATAGCATGGGAAGAGCCATTTGGACCCGTGTTGCCTATTATAAGGATTTCTAATGTTGAAGAAGGGATTCATCATTGTAATGCAAGCAATTTTGGGCTTCAGGTATGCTTAAACCCTAAACCCTAAACCCTAAATAAGCCAGACTTAACGTGTACATTTATGATTTTTTGTATTTCATCATAAAGAAAATTTTTAAATCGTGTTTCAATAGGGTTGCATATTTACAAAAGACATTAACAAAGCAATGTTGATAAGTGACGCGATGGAGACGGGTACGGTTCAAATAAATTCAGCACCGGCTCGAGGACCGGACCATTTCCCTTTCCAGGTTCATGTCAAACACAGTACAACCTGTTCTGTTCTGTGTAACAAACGGGTCCCTTTAGACCCTTTTTTTGTGCCAAGTTTGACTTGTAATGGAGCGAGTTTGTTTGGTGACAGGGTTTGAAAGATAGTGGGATTGGTTCGCAAGGAGTGACAAATAGTATTAACATGATGACAAAAATCAAAAGTACGGTGATCAACTTGCCCACTCCTTCGTACACAATGGGCTAGTAGTAGTTAGAGGGGAATGCTTTTGGTGAAGGTCGTTTGTATATAAGCTTATGTGAAGTGTTGAAGAGGGTGATATTATGGTATTATGTAATCTTGGTGTTTGAATAATGATTTTGTTAATTGGCAAAACGAGAAAGTAGACTTGAACATTCGAGTTCTTCTTTTAAGGCCCTTGAGAATAATGTATCTAGCACTAGATATCACTTGTATCATCTAATAAGGGTGAGTATGGTTTGGTTTTGAAAACCAATTTATAATAATACGCCTTTTAGCTCTAAAAATTGTTTTGAGTTTAAGGTTTTTTTTAGCAACACGTAAGTTGATTCACACTGCATAACAAGAGAATCGTGTGACATGTAGATAAGACACAAACACACAACATTCCCCTTGAATCTATGTAGTGGATTTTGTCTTGTATTTCAGCTAATATTTTTGTCGACATTGTGATTTACATCATTTATGTTGGCTATAGAAGCGATACGTGGATGTCACATATAGGTATAACTTTTTTTAGGGATAATGAGTTAAAAGGGTAATATAGTTTTCGATTTGTATACATTTGGTCAATAAAAAAAAATTTCGTACACATTTGTCCCGTCAACTTGTTTAACTGTATACATTCAGTCCTTATGACCGGCAATTCCAAGTAAACCGAAAAAAATAACTTAATATGTTAATATATTTCTCACTTTGTACACATTTAGTCCTTAATTAATTTTTGCACATTTAGTCCTTAATATTTTTTTGGTGCAAAATTAGTCCTTAATGTTTTTGTAACTTCTTCATACGATCTCGAGTTTTAACGATCTTTATGTCCACACATTCGTAGTTGAATTTACTACAACTTTCGTTCATATTACTCCGGTTAAAAAGTAATATATTTTTAGTTATGATCTTTATATACATGCGTTCTTTATGAATGTATGTATGAACATTTTTTTAAAAATTGTAAATAAAAATATATTACTTTTTAAAGTGAATAATCTAAGCTAATTAGTTGTTAAGGTCTTGTGGTTTGGCCGATGTCTTGTATTTTGAACGTCGTAACTTCTTCATATGATCTTATATTTGAACGATCTTTATATCCACGCGTTCGTATTTGTAACACCTGGTATGACTTGAAACCCTCAAGAATTTACATTTTAGCATAATTGGTCCTTTAAGTACGTTGGGCGTACTTAAGTGTACGCTTAGCATACTATGCATGGTTGGTCGCGGAGGAGCTGGACGTACGTTGGCCGCACCAGCAGTACGTTGGGCGTACGTGTCAGGGGTCCAAAACCCTAATTTTCGGACATGAGGCATATTTAAGCGACCTTAAGTCCCATGGACTTAACCCTAGAGGCCTCCACAGCTTTAGAACGTCCTTCCACTCCAGAGAAACTTGTGAGACCATTTTGAGCTTTAAAGAGTGCATTTATGGCCCTTTTACTGTTCATTCCAAGAAGAAGAGGTGGTTAAACAAGCTTGGAACGAGTTGGTGCTTCAAGAACCTGCATCTTAGTCATCTTGCAAAGCTTCTGGAGGTAAAAAGCTTGGATCTTTCATCTTAAATCTTTAGATTTAGCTAAGGTTTTCTACCTTGTCCCTTTTGGTTGATTTTGGACCTCCATTTGTGAGTTAAGCAACTCCAGAAGATGGGAAAGACAGATCTGAGGTCCCTTGGTCCTTTAGAACCATAAAAATTGAGTCTTGGTGGGAGTTTTGGCCTCATGCATGGGTTAAAGACCTTGGAAAGGTCTTAATGGAAGTGTTGGGTGTATATGAGGCGTGCAAGGGCATAAAGTTGCCAACTTTATGCCTTAGGACGTCTTAACAAACTTAGATATGGCTTTTGGACGTAAAGGAAACGAGTATTAAGCACTTAATGGATAAAGTGCTTAAACTGGTTGTACGCTGGGCGTAACCCAGTGTACGCCGCGCGTAGTCCCAAGACCCTAGTACGCTGCACGTACCAGGATGGTACACCGAGCGTACGCATCACAGATGTGCCGAATCTGTTTTGGGCCTCATTTGATTATTGGGCATGGTGTACTCTGGGAATTATGAGTCATATCATCTGTTATGGGCCATGGACATATTGATTGGGCTTTATTAGGCCAAGAGGCCAATTAAGGATTTTAGACTTGGACTTTGGGCCCATTAGCAAGGGATGGATAATTGGGCCTTATGGAAGGGTTTGGAGTTTGGGTTTCCCTTGGTTAATTAAAGTCCTAACATTGTTTAATATTATTATTCAGCACGGGAGGTTAGGGACCGTTAGGAGAACAACTTCTGTATTCAGCAGGCAGAGGTGAGTCTTCTCACCATACCATGGGTCTAAGCACCAAGGCCGGCCCATTATGTGATTATGATATATGTGTTCCATTATTGTTTTGGTATGTCATGTGAATGTGTGTTTTGCATGGAAGACCTCGGGGGGAGCCCGTGGCATTGGATGTAAGACCATGCGGGGTAGCCCATGGCAGTCCTAGGTAAAGGCCATGTGGGGTAGCCCATGACATTGGATGTAAGACCATGTGGGGTAGCCCATGGCAGTCCTAGGTAAAGACAATGTGGGGTAGCCCATGGCATTCTTACAGGTTGTATGTATGCATGGATTATGTGATATGTGCGTAGCTTTAATTAGCTAACAGGATATGTGTATGTGTATTGTGTGCGGTATGCTCTGGGGAACTCACTAAGCATTTCGCTTACAGGTTGTTAATTTGTTTCAGGTACATCTGAGCCCAAGGGCAAGGGCAAGGCATGATGGCGCAACGTGCACTCTATCTCTCTTTCACTGATATGTTTTTGGGGACACTCTGATGATTTAAATAAGTTGTAATGAATACTGATTTGAAAACAATTATGTTGGGATTTCATGGTTTATGCAAATGTGTTTTATTAATTAAAAATGAAAATTTATTTGAAAACTTGGGTCATTACATGTTGGTATCAGAGCCTTGGTTTGAGAGATTCGGGCACACTCTCGGGTGTGTCAGGACTCAAACTAAGGACATGATAAATTGTTTTCAAAATAAAAGTTAAAAACTTTTAAGAAATGAAAAGAAGAGAGTGCAACGCGCGCGATCGGCTGAGCCAAGTAAGTAGTTCCCAATGTGTTAGCCATGTTATACTGATATTTGAGCTTGATGATCGTATGAGACTTGCTATGTGTATGCTTTTAAAATTGTATACGGTTAGGAGCTTATAACCTCAGAATGATTGATTTGGCCTTATTTCCTATTCCTTGTTTGGTTGTGGTCCTAGGGTAGAATCTTTTATTCGAAAGTCTATTTGGTCCTATTCTGTGTATAATTTGCATGCATAAAGGCAACCTGCTATGATTGGTCTGATTGATATGGGTAGGGCAAATCTTAGGACAACCTGGGATTCGGGTTAGGCAGTGGTTGTGGGTTATGATTTATTTTGGGACGAATTGGAGTTATCAGGTGGAGCCTTGGGGAAAGGTACAGGTAGGTGTGGAAGGTAGTATTGGGCCCGTACTACTGAAAGCACAGGACATGTACCCAGACCATTGCTAGATCTGATCACTCTAAGGAGGACCGGTGTGGGAAGATCCCCTATATATAATGTGTCCTGATTATTATGGTTTATGACATTTCAGTTCAGCATGGTGGTGACACGATTTGGGGTAGGGGGTTCAGGATCAGGGTCTGGATCTGGGTCCGGGTCTGGATCGGGCAGCGGTACTAAGCCTATTGATGAGAGACTGCGCGATATCATTGCAGCCGAGGTTACGAAGGGCATCCTTGATGCTACCCCAATCATTTTTGGGACGGTCAAGGAGGGCATTATGGAGATCATGGAGGAGAGAATCAGATCATTCAGGGCTGAGATTGCTACGGGCCAGATTGGGGCCCGGACTCCCTCGTTCCGGGAGTTCAAGGCATATGGGGCGCAGGAGTTTTTCGGGGTCAGGGGCCCCATTGTCAGCCGACGCTGGGTGGCGGATATCGAAAATGCCCAGCGCACGAGTTCTTGCCTGGATGTTGCTTCTTGCATGTTGAGAGACAGAGCTCGGGATTGGTGGGGCGAGGTTACTAGACAGGTGGGACCAGCCGGGGTGGCTAAGATGACATGGGCCGAGTTTGTTCGACGATTTGATTTGGAGTTTGCACCACCCATTGAGGTGCAACGACTAGTACGGGAGTTTCATGATTTGCAGCAGACCACCGAGACTGTGGCGGAGATCACCGTCAATTTTTGGGAACGAGCTTTGTTGATCCTACAATATGCTACCAATGTAACGCTCGTAGATTCTGACTAGTCAATTTAGAGACAATGAGCATCAAAAATGAGTTTTTGATGGAAGATTATTTAGAAGAAATAATCTTAACCAAGTGGTAGTATATGTTACAAGGGTTCCGTACTTATAAAGAACGCCGAAATCCGAGTTATAACGAAGAAGTTATGGCCCGTCGAAGTTTTACGGCAAAACCGGCACGGCATCGGGAGACGTAAATAGTGAAATTAAGATAGAGGACTTTTTAGCCATAGTGATCTAAACAAAAGTTGTAGTATACGTTAAACCGAGAGCGTGCATAAAAAGAACGCCCAAATCTGACTTCGTATGAGTAAGTTATGAATTTTCTAAGATTTAGCATAGCAGTGCACGGCCCGAAACTCGAATTTTAGATCGAGCGGCTTTTGGCGTACGTGACCTAAATGAGATTTGAATATCTCATTAATAGGAAGTCAACGATAAAAAGAAAGACGAAAACGGAGTCCGTATGAAAGAGTTACGAATTTTTCGCGGTCATTTAACAGTATAATCTCCTCCTACAGTTAAATTTAACATCGGTCGAGAATTAGCCGACATAGTCAAAATGAAAGTTGTAGATCTTATTTTTACCTACGCGTGGATATAAATAACGTCAAAAACGGAGCTCGTATGCGAAAGTTACGGATTTTAGAAGTCGGAAGTGTGTTGTGCGAAAATGGGTGACGTGGCACAATCTTGGCCATTGCTTTCTCCCCAAGTCTTGCCACCAGATGGTGACATGTGGCACCAAGTTCAACAATATTTCACCCTATAAATAGAACCTCTCCCACCCTCATTTTCTTCACACTTTTCCCATTCTTTCTTCTCTTACACTCTCTCTAAACCTCCAAAAACTCCCTA